ACTGCAGAAGTCATATCAAAGAATGCATTCAATAAACCAATAATTGGGTTAATAAAAGGTTCTTAGTGGTTCAAAAGGATGAGTGTATTAAATAAGGAATTATTACAGAAGTGAAAAAGAGCAAATATTGTATTAGTAAAATCAGACGAAACGTTCCTAGAAAAAAAAGACACAGCAACAAGCAGGAGGATATAAACGGGATAAAAAGAAAACGGTGACAGCGAGAATATGAAAATAGACATGACTTGACCTGACCTGACCTGACCTGACCTGTCAAATGAAAATATTGACCCTTGTATGTTTGGTGCAGACTAGTTTACTACAATGGGAGGGATGGGGGGTGATCAAATGAAGTGAATATTGTTATTTTGAATGATCCGCATATGCTAAATATGATTTGAGAGGAGCTGAGAAGGGAGGAGTGGGATATGCTATATCTCTACATGTTGAAAGTTTTGTTTTTCGTTGACTTACGAAAAAAATTTATGCAAGTTGCAGCGATGGCTATTACTGACTGAAAGCAGCATGGGAGAATTGAAATAGACTACAGTTTATGGGTGAATAACAGCATTTCGGCCAAAACAGAAAACAGTTTGCGAAGCCTTTATACATACGTTTACTATAAGTAGCTAAATGATATCTAATATGGCAAAGAATAATGTTAGTATAACAAAAAAAAATTATCAAAAAATGGTTCAGTAACTATAACAGTAATGCTAAAAATAGATCTGCCTAATTCCTTTTAGTATATTCTTGAACGCTACCATTGAATCTTAAAGTCAGATCTTACAATAAATGTGTCAAACACCCAGCATGAAATACTGTAAAAGGGTTAATTATTCACTGGGGTTTAATTTTGCTTATTTCGCTGACTGGAAAATGCGCTAAATTAAAACCCAGTGAATATGTAAAATTTAACATAGAACACATTATCTGAATGATAAAACCGTGAATTTGTTTAAACCCACTGAATATGCCTGAAATGGTAAATCAGCGAAATTTAAACCCAGTGAAAATTAGTAATTTTACAGTAGGAATTTTGGGGCTATTTACCATTAGTTTGTATGGTAAAAATGTTTCATCATAACTCAAACTTTTCTTTGGGTACATGTAGTGAATTACATGTAGTTATTATTGCAGTTGTCAAAAAATATTGGAAATTCTTAAATAAACCTACAACAAAAAACTACAATTTAAATAATTCCAAAACGCCTGTTTTTGCATGTTTTTTCAGACAGTTCTGAAATTAAAAAAAAAAATTCATACTAACTGGGGAAAAAATCACCGAAGTCAATGACTTGTATCTGAATCAATAATTATGTAACAATTTATAAGTTTTTTTCGCTCTTGTTTAATAGGCTAACAAGTGATATGACATATTAAACTCTCAACACATGGTATAAATTTCACTTGTGTATTACGTACATGAACTTGATCGAATAAACATTCAATTGAACAAAACTAATGACTACATTGCAAGTAAATAAATTGCAGGTCAGTTTGGAAGGGGATGATAGGTAAAAGAGTCTGCAACAAACTTACAAATAGTCTATTTACATCTCATGAATATTCATAAGTGTCTGCTGAACAATTTCAACATACCTGGTAAATTTTCTCTGCTGCCATCTTTACCGTCTTTACTCTTCTCTTTTTTACCAAATAACCTACCTAACGAACCTTTCAGTCCAGTCTGTCGTTTTTTAAGTTGTGCCTGGTGTTGTGCTTGCTGTTGTTTGTGCAGTGAGTCTTGGCTGCTATTTGTACTACTGTGGGGGCTAGGCGTACTCTGTGAGCTGTCCATAGATCCCCTGCTGTAAGGCAAAGAAAAAATCCCAATTATGAAACCATCCATTGGTATTGTGGAATCAAAGAAAGCTGAAAACGAACTCCTGTGTGCTGGGAGCATTGGAGACGTATTAAAAAAACGATTCAAAATTTAAGATTAGCCTTTCAAAAAAAAAAAAAAAGCTTGGCAACTACTATTTGTTTGCTATTTGAGATGCACAATGTGAAAACAATGTGATCCACAACTGTGGTTTTCAGTCAAATTTATTCCAGAGCACTTTTACCACAAGTTCAATTTAAATCTGATTTGGCTAATCAGATAATCAATATGCATATTTTTCAACATTAAACTAATCACTTCTGTGGATTACCCCAGAGCATCTGTGAATAAAATTTTAATGAAATGTGATGATTATGCACTTTATGCAAATTAGCCAATTAAGTATGATCAATTTTCAATCCAAAACTAATCAGGTCTTTAGCATTGTTCCCAGGGACTTGTATACCAAGTCTTATTGAAATACAATAATTGGTTTTTGAGATAGAGATAGAAAATTGGTAATTATTATGCAAATTAAGTTATTATTATTCATCGATTTCAATCCTAAACTAATTAGGTATGTGTATTGTTCCAGGGCACATATGTAAGTACCAGTATACATAACATGATGATTAATTATTAAAGATCTATGGAAAGCCAAAAAGTAAATAATTATGCAAATAAGATATTTATTATTGATGTATATAAACCCAATACAAATTAAATCATCGCATTGTCTTAAAGTATTTATGTACAAAGATTCAGTGAAATAAGCTGACAAGTACTTGAGATATTGATGGAAAAGCTGAAAATAGGAATTATTACGCAAATTAGGTAATTAATATGAACAGATTTCAAATCTAAATATCAAATCTGTGCATTGTCCTATGACATCTATGTACCAAGTTTCATTGAAATGGGATAATTAGTACTTGAGATATCAGTGTAAAAACAGAAAATTGACTAATCATTATGCAAATTAGGTGATTAATATGCACAAATGTTCACCCCAAACTAATCAGGTCTATGCATAGTCTTAGAGCATCTATGTACCAAGTTTCATTGTTAATGTGATGGATAGTACTTGAGATATAAGTGAAAAGCCGGAAACTGTTTAATCATTATGCAAATTAATTAATTAATATACATGAATTTTTACCCAAAATTAATCAGGTCTGCACATTGCCCAAGAGCATCTATGTACCAAGTTTCATCAAAATCAATTAAGTGGTTCTTTAGATATCAGTCCAAAAATCATGGAACAGCTAAAAACTAGTGAATTATCATGCAAATTAGGTAATTACTATGCATGGATTTCAACCAAAAACTAAATCTGCACATTAGTCCACAGCTTCTATGTATTAAGTTTCATCAATATCCAGTAAGTGGAACAGACACGCACATATGTATGTATACATAAATACATGTACATACATACAGATGCACTATAACCTGCAAAGACTTTCATTGTGTGCTTCGCACAAGGAAGTCAAAAACTCCTTCCCCCACCTCCGGTTATAATGGACAGCCATCAAATTACCTCCTTTGTTCCTCACTGCTAGCGGCTGGTGCAGCTACACGCTCCATTCGCGCTGAACGCGCTGCTGGTGGGCTTGACTCGCATCGTATTGACCGACTTTCTTCACGATTTTCTTCTCGAAGGGCAGGTGGCTACAACGGAGGAACAAAAATGGCCAAATGAGTATGGCCGATTACACTTTAGTAGGAAAGCATCTGTTATTAGTTGGTTATCCAAAATCCACCTATAAATCATTTGGCTTAATCCCTACATTTACTATTTTCTGCCAACCCCCTATATATAGTGTTAGTCAGCACCACAGGTTGGGACAGATCACTTTACTTTATAATGGTACAGTATTCAACCCCCATCCTCGCATCATCTTGGGCTGGCCTGTTACAGACCAATCAGATAAGGTCATTAGCTCCAAAATGTACAAGAAAATAGAATTTTCCCAACCATAATTGGTATGCTGGTTATGATTTATTTGATAAATACTGTAATGAAACCAGACCAGATAAAGGTGGAAAGGGGTTGCACGTAACACCACACAGCTGCCCCAGGTTTTTATTACAAGCCCCAAAAAACCTTGCATGCGCCTTTGCTGCTCCGTTTTGTTATCTAAAAGCAGATGTTTCGAAGATGGAAAAACAAAATCAGGAAACTATACCAATATTTAATACTTTACCACAGTTAAAGATACCTTCACCACAATAAGAAGTACACAGGAAACTGGTGAAATTTTTATGTTTTCATTGACCATAAAAGAAGGTAATTGTTAGCATACGGTACAATCAGGGTATCCAGACAATCTTTGAAAGTACATATGTGAAGTAAATCTTAACACTGAAATTTCTAGACAACATTTCACCAGTTTCGGGTCGCATGAAAAAAAAACAAAAAAGTCCCTTAAAAGAGAAGAAATAGAATATAAGATATATAAATAAATATATACATAGATATATCTATGAATATATGTATATGTGAGTGTTTAGATATAGTGATAGGATATGTGGGCTATACCTGGCAACCATGGAGTTGGTTATCGGAACGCGACATATAACGGTCTATAAATTCCAACTATAATGGGGAAGCATAAGAGAAACAAGTATACGTAAAACTGCTTTAGCCAGACCATAGAGTTGTTTGTTGTGAGTATGACAACAAAAAGACATTTAAAAAAAAAAAAAAAAATGAGGGGTTATATTTATCCATGCAATGATGGATGAATGGATACTTTATGGTCATAAAATTATTATTTTTTATTTTTATTTTAGTATTTTCATCAATAACGTTAGTAGCATTCCAGATATTGTCCATGCTAGGATGGGAAGAAGGAATGTTTGGATGCAAAAGGCCCCCCTCTTATTTGATTTTTTTGTAAGGTAGACTTTGTTGGGTAAATATTGAAACTAAACATATTGCAGTCAATGTGTTTCTTGTCCCAAAACTTGCTGCAACTTACCTGTACTTGTCCATCATTATTTGGTAATAAACAAATAAATTTGAAAATCATAATATGAAAATTGATTTGATGCAAGACCTCACTCGGTCAGGAGTGATAGTACTTGAATTTTATTCAGATGGTAGCTTTGTTAAAAACAGACATGAGTTCTGGGCAAAAAAACAAATCACTGACAATTCCTTAGTTTCCCCCATCTTCAAGAAAAGCACCCTTACAGAACTACAACAGGAAATCCAATAATCTCAGTAACTTTACAGGAAAAGGTTGATTTCATGGTCTATTTACTGATCGTTTCTCTTTTTGTAATTTTTTTCCTTTTTGAAAATTAATTTGCGGAAGGTCAAAGAGGAGAAAGACCTGGAACGTACGTTTCAGTATAATGGATCTAACAGAAGCACATGATGAAATGCTGGTGTGGCAATATGACTGAATGATAACGCATAATATGCAGATGAGACTCATGAATATGCATAATATGCAGATGAGATAATGAATATGCAAATGCAGTTGCAAACATTGTATCAGGGGGGTGTTTTGGGGGGGCCGGATGTGGAGGGGTTTGCTGAGACAATGAGGAGAAGGGAGATGAAGATTCGTGATAGTGCTTCAGAATTTTAAATACTTTTAAAACAAACAAAGAAAAACAAAATCTGAAATAAAATATTTATCACATAATGTTTTGTTCACCATGCAAAGTGACTTGTTACACGAGTGCACAACAGGCAGACAAACACTGATAAATGCAGACCGACAAATACAATCGACGATAGCATGCAGATATTTATAAATCATATTTATATATTACTAAACATACAAATATTTTTTTTATATAAAAGATGTACTGTCTTGGAAATCTTGGAAGTGACATCTTGGATGTATAAATTATTTCAAAAAGGCCGCTCACATGAATTTGATCATTTTAAACAAGTTATGGAGTTCTTAATTTTTCATTTGCATATATTAGCATCGTGAAAACAAATAAATCAGTCAAAAAAGTTTGTAAAATTTTGCATATTTTAGAATTTTATGAAAAGAGCCGTGAAAACATGGTTGAGAATCACAACAGATGCTTAGACTAGAAATATCAACAAGGGATCAAGACCCGACCTCACTTTTCTCAAAGACCATAGACAGTACACGAATATTGCACAGTGCATTGTAAGTGTTCATATTCAGCTGGAGACAGGTGAACATAAAATTGTTGTGAAATCCAACTTAGAAAAACTGGTATTTATATTGAATCAATAGAAAATAAATAATTTATTACAAATGAAAATAAGATTACATTGTGATCACAATGTGCCATAGGTAGAGGAGCAATTTGTATATTATCAACAAACAAACAAACACAAGTTGTACTTATTGTCATTGCTGGTGGAATAAAACACAGTACGAAGGTAAGGAATACAGGGTGGGATGTGTCTCAGAAACAGGACAATGTGGGTTCTTTTCTGGGTGAGTGAGAATTGGGATATAGTATAAAACATGTGGAAACACACAGTGAGAGAAATCAACGGTGATTGGATATTAGCACAGAGCTCAGAATGGGTCATAATGATTGGTTGGATATCAAAAGAAATCAATGGTGATTGGATATTAGCACAGAGCTCAGAATGGGTCATAATGATTGGTTGGATATCAAAAGAAATCAATGGTGATTGGATATTAGCACAGAGCTCAGAATGGGTCATAATGATTGGTTGGATATCAAACAATTTGAATTTGAGTGCGAAACTGGTTGGGTTAGGAGTTCAGTGCTTGGATGGTGTGAATGAGTTGATATAGGTGAAGTCTTAGTGCTGGGTTGGGTTGGATGGGTTGATTGTGGCAATGTTTCAGTGCTGGTTTGGCATGAATGGGTTGATTGTGGCAATGTCTCAGTGGTGGGTTGTCATGGATGGGTTGATTGTGGCAATGTCTCAGTGGTGGGTTGTCATGGATGAGTTGATTGTGGCAATGGCTCAGTGATGGGTTGGCATGATGGGTTGATGTGAAAATATTGGAATGTTGGATTGGCATGGATGGGTTGATGTGGGTGAAGTCTCAGTGGTGGGTTGTCATGGATGGGTTGATTGTGGCAATGTCTCAGTGCTGGGTTGGCATGGATTGATTGTTGCAATGTCTCAAGTGGTGGGCTGTCATGAATGGGTTGTTTGTGGCAATGTCTCAGTGCTGGGTTGTCACGAATGAGTTTATTATGGCAATGTCTCAGTGATGGGTTGGCATGAGGGTTGATATGGCAATGTTGGAATGAATGGGTTGATTTGAAAATGACTCAGTGTTGGGTTGGAATGGATGGGTTGATGTGGGTGAAGTTTCAGTGGTGGGTTGTCATGGATGGGTTGAGTGTGGCAATGTCTCAGTGCTGGGTTGGCAGGGATGGGTTGATATGGCAATGTCTCAGTGGTGGGTTGGCCTGATGGGTTGATGTGGCTATGTTGGAATGTTAGGTTGAAATGAATGGGCTTATGTGGCAATGTCTCAGTGCTGGGTTGGCATGGATGGATTGATTGTGGCATGTCTCAGTGCAGGATTGGCTTGGATGGATGGGTTGATTGTGGCAATGTCTCAGTGCTGGGCTGGCATGGTGGGTTGACGTGGGTATAGTCTCAGTGCTAGGTTTGAATGGATGGGTTGATTTGGGTGAAGGCATAGTGCTGGGTTTGAATGAATGAGTTGATGTGGGTGAAGTCTTGGTGTTGGGTTTGAAAGAATGGGTAGATGCAATTGGATGAAATGATATGGAGGAAGTATCAGTGCCGGGATGGTTACATTTTTAGAGTCGAAACTGGGTTGAAAAAATGGGATATGGCAGGTAAAATCTCAGTGCTGTGTTGAAGAAGATGAGTCAAGGATAGGAGCATTCAATGTTCAACTGATTGGACTGGGGGTCATTCATTGTGAGGGAACAATGGGAGCAAGGTGAATTCAGCCAGCATATATTGTGCTCGCTACCGGAAAACAGGGAGCTTGTGAACTGGAATTACACAAAGGTACTGAAACAACGTGGAACAGTACTAGGATAGGAGATAAGTATATGATGGGAAGGAAGAGGGTTGGAAATTCTAAGCAGGCAATAAGCAAGCATTAGTGGCAAAGGCAAAGCAAGAGCATACCTGGTTTACAGATGCTGCGGTGCTATGACTGTAATAATTTGGTAGGGATCCTGTGGTAGAAATTTGAGGCTGACTTTGACTATGGTGACTACTAAGTCCTGTTGTGACTCGTTCATTACGAGAAAGTTTGGGAGTAGATCTGCCACTCACTGGTGGAGAAGGCCTCTCTCTGTCTAGTGATCCTGCAATGCTCCCTGGAAGTGAACGTGCCACTGATAGCTCCCCCGACCAAACATTGCCAGGTCGTCTTCTCGTGGAACCAAATAACCCAATATTTTCAAGACTGCCACTACCTACACGGCTTTCAATTTCTTCCGCCCTCATTTCTGTTGAATCTTTTTCTTCTTGTATAAGCCTGGAGAAATGAATTTAGGAGAAAAATGGAGAACTACTTCGAGCATGAAGCTTTTTAACACCAAAGTCTGTTAACTTTGCCCAAATACACTGTAATTTTATTTCAAACTTTCGATCAAGACCTGTGGGGTAATGAGAAAATTATGTTCATTTTGCTCCAAAATTAACAAAGAAATCATAAAAAATCTATAAAAAATGTGCAGAACATTTTGGCGGGCAAAAATATGGTTATCAAAGGCAAGCATGTATTTAATTATTTACATGTATATGTAGCACTTGCATTGCATTGTGGCTTAATTAATCTGAAAAATGGCAAATACACTACCGGTAGTAGAGAAGTGCATATCTCTTCAGAAACAGCTTCTTGTTTTAAGAAAACTTTAGTATTTTCCAATATATATCCAAAATGATGAAATATCCAGATTACCGCATTACCCCGGGCACGCGCCCCTCCCTGGGCAAGCGCCCACCCCCCTGTTTTCACAAAAGTTACATGTTGGGGACATCCTCGGTTAAACGCCCAGGGTGATTTTTAGCCAAGAACAGGGTCAACAATAAAGTTTTATTAGTCAAAAACGAACGCGTTCAATTTATTTAAATAGTGTGTTTGTTACATTAGTTCTCTTTTTGGAGTGTGTGGTGGCCCTGAAAAGGGCCGTTTTGTTTGTGTTTTTACGTAAAACTCATTGACTTAACGACGTAGAT